GCCATCTCGTCCTCCTCCACCCTCCACCCCCACCCCACTCTCTCACCTCCTCCCAGTTGGAGCATCAGACCACACAGCCCAGTCCTGTCAAACCCAGCTGGGACATCTCTCCTCTGTCCTTTCTTCCTCGCTCGTCTCCTCCCTCCTTCCCTACCCCTCCCCCTTGCCTCCCCAGACTCTGACGGGTGTAGAGCTTTGATACCGCGGAGAAGAAGGGGGGTTAGGAGCATTTTCATTTTTATCTGCTTCGAAGACTCCCCAAGACCCTCCTTTCTTGTTCGAGTCATCCTGAAATGTTTCTCATCAGCATAAGTGTCTATTCTTTTGTGTTTGTGAATCAAATTGATAGAGACGTGATTTCCAAAGGGGGGGGGGGGACGTGTGCGGGGCATCTTCTCTCTGACCAATGCACAATGACTGTTTGCGCTTGTTTTTCAGGTGCGGGTTCAGCAAATCTTGGGGTTTTTTATGCGGCGGCTTGTCAGAACGACGTGAGCTTCTGTCCTGTGCAATAAGCGTCAGGTAAACATATAGTCAAAGTCCTCGGTGTTGTGCCGCTTCTGTCAGCTCCATAACTTTTCATCTTCGAATTCAAAGTAAAAAAAAACGGTCGCTGAAAATAAATGTTTTGAAACAAGGCTGCGTTCAAAGCGGATTCGTCGCCTGATCACTTCTTTTAAAAAGCCTTTTCCCCAGCGTCTGCAGACAATAATAGGTGTGTCTGCAACTTTTGTAGTGTTTGCTTTGCTCTTGGGCTGTTGAGACATCTCTTCTTTTAGCTTAAGAGCTTGGCTGTTTCTCCATTCTTGAGTCCATATATCATAAAGGTGAGCTCATGGCCATTAGTCAGACTGACAGGGAAGGTCTGGGCAGAACTGTGTCTCTAAGTGGAATCTGCAAGTTATTTTTGTGAGTATAAATTACTCTGGATTAGAAGGTATTGGGACTAGAGGCTATTATGCTCATGGGTAAGCTTATAGGTATATAGGAGGATTTTCTACTTCCGGGTGGATCATAAAGACTATTGGTCCTCCTAATTGTAAATCATGCTGGTGATACGTGCATGTCAAACCTAGCCTGGTCGTACCACACCATAGTACAAATTACATTTCGTACTAAGGTCTGGATTTGCTCCATTGACTCCGTTAACAGGTGGGAGGGGCTAACTCCTTTTGCAGATTGAAACGATTGGATCTGAGTTTACTGTGATGTATGTAGTGCGCCCGAGTGAGTCGTTAGCATTTAGCCTAGCTTTAGCCATCTCCTTTGCCGCTAACGGAGCCCGTGGGGAGTAACGCCACACATTTTTCCAGCGACTACATTTGCTAAACATTCCTTTTGCTCCGGCTTCAATTTCTTGATAGAACCAGACCGGATTTGCATTCTTCGCCAAACTACAACCTGCCCGTTCGACGCAAACTCTTGACGTCATCCAAATCTAACTACAACACCCGCCTCCCGGGCTCTCTGATTGGTCGGATGGAATTCAACCGATTGTAATCGCAAACACAGGGACCAGACCCAGACGTTACCTGCAGGACATGATGATTGACCGAAGTGTACGGCTAATGTCAAACAAGACCATAGAGTTTTTTCATAAAGTGGAGAAGGCGATTCTTTCCTAATTTGGGAAAATCCTCCTAAATCCCTTAAAAGGGGAAAAAAATAAACCAAAGCTATAAACTAAACTGAGAAGGGAAATGCCAATCTTTATGTATAAATCTTTATGTAGAGATCTTGGACATGCAGGACCACCCTCTGTCACTGGTTTTGCTCATAGTTTTTACGAACCACACTGGACTCAGTGTAGGAGGTGGTTAGGTTCATCAACCCAGGACCTCCCACATGAACTGGGACAGTCTTGCACAGCGGCTGGGATGAAACTTCCAAATCTGAGACCATGCTTGGGCAAGTCACATGAGCAGAGGAGTCCAAGTATTTTGAGGGAAGGATGGAGGGTGAGATTGACAGATTCATTTCACCAGCATCCGCACTGAGTTGAAGTCTACACTCCCATTCTCATCTATGGACTAAGGAGCTTTGGGATATGCCCAAAAGAACAACATTACAGTGATCAATAATCAGGATGGCTGGGCACGTTCTCATACAGAAGGGTCAGGCTGGAGGTCAGTCAGACAGAGCTCGGAGTAGAGCTGCTGCTTCTCATCAGGAGGAGAAAACCAAAGACCCTCTAGAGACCGTTGTGTCTTTGTGCCTGAGAATGAGCCGGAGGACCTGGATCGCCGCAATAATGCAGCACACAGCAGCTTGTGTGAGGATGGTTGACAAAAACAACCATGATATTATAGAATTGCCAATTAATTTGCCACCTCTAAGACAAATAAAATAGCAAATTGCCACAAGGCTCAGAGATTGATTGGATGTTGTCTTCTTATCGCCCTCCTGAGCCTAAAGCTGGGAGTTTGGCAATGTTATATTTATAGTCAGTGTGATAATGGTGGGTGAATGGGTGGCTCTGTGAATCATGTTAAGTGCTGCTGCTTCCAGGCGTGGAGGGTGAGACTGAGGAGACTCGCGCTGTGGTGCCGAGGCGATGGCAGAAAACACCAGGTCGACACGCAGCCCAGTTAACCTTTAAACACGCTGCTCAGGTCTGCACCAACACACGAACCTCTGAAAGTGACTCAGGGCAGTTAGAGGTTAATGGCTGCTTCTTGTTCTTGGAAATATGCAAAAATATGTTCATGTGTTCAAGGTTACGTTACAGGTTTAGTATTTTTACATCTTCTGACTGGCTTATTGTTTTACTTTGCACGGACTTGACTGAACAAAACTAAAATGATTTAATTGTTAATTTTGTATATTCAGCACAGAGCAAAAGTGTGGACACCCTCTCTCCTTCACTGAGTTCTTTTCATGACTATTGCTGTAGACCTGCACCAGGCTGTGTAAGGGCTGTTTGACCAATAAGGAGAGAGATGGTGCTGGGCCACATGACCTCCACAGTCACCGGACCTGAACCCAGTCCAGATGGTTTTGGACCTGAACCCAGTCCAGATGGTTTTGGAACTGAACCCAGTCCAGATGGTTTTGGACCTGAACCCAGTCCAGATTGTTTTGGACCTGAACCCAGTCCAGATGGTTTTGGACCTGAACCCAGTCCAGATTGTTTTGGACCTGAACCCAGTCCAGATGGTTTTGGACCTGAACCCAGTCCAGATTGTTTTGGACCTGAACCCAGTCCAGATTGTTTTGGACCTGAACCCAGTCCAGATGGTTTTGGACCTGAACCCAGTCCAGATGGTTTTGGGGCTGGACCACAGGGTGAAGGGGCCAACAAGTGCTAAGCATCATGGGAACTCCTTCAAGACTGTTGGAGACCATTTCAGGTCCTGTTGAAGCTCATCCAGAGAATGCCAAGAGTGAAGCAGTATCAGAGCAAAAGGAGCTGCTTTGAAGAACCAGAATATAACACATATTTACACTTGGTTCATTATTTTTTACTACAAACATAATTCACATGAGTTCATCATAGGTTCGATGCCCTCAGTGTCAATCTACAGTTTTCATAATCATTAAAATAAAAAACTCTTTGAATGAGAAGGTGTCCAAACTTTTGGTCTGTACTGTACACTATACTATACACAGTCTATCTCCACTAACCTGACTCATGTTCATACTAACTCCTGAGTCCATAAAAATACCGGCCTTAGATGTTTATACAACAAAATAGAGCAATAAATTATTAGCGCCACAATACACAGAGCCCAGCGTCAGGACAAAACACGGGAGGCAGCGTTTCCGAATCATAAATCTGGAACAGTCTGCTTTAAAATATGAGACTTGTCTTTGTTCTTAAGTTTTAATTGTTAATTATACTTTAGCGACAAAGGTGAAAGAGTCATTTGAAAATAGGGGTGGGATTAGATAAGTTTTTACTTCTTCCCAGTCCCTTTCGTACATGAAACAAGACAATGTATTATTATTATCATTATTAATATTACGATTATTATTATTTACGTATACTTCAATGTTAACCTGAACATTATTACTATTTATTTTGGTGCTTTCGTTGTGTACTTATTTATACAATTTGTGTGAGTATCTTGTTTGGTTAAGTCTTGTAACTTGGCATGTACGAAATGAAAATAAATTAAATGAAATGTGTATTTTCTTGTTTTGTAAAGCCCTTAGAGTTGCCTTGTGTATGCACTGTGCTATAACAAATAAACTTCCCTCGGCTTACAAAACTACCAAAGAAAATAAGAGTGACTGTAGCACAATGAGTTCCAGGTATAGGCTAAAAATGCTTAAAAATAAATACAAAGTGTATGTGGAAAGTGCCTCTGGGCCACACGCTGAGACACTTGTATACAACACGAACAATAATAACATTTCTCACACACTTCACTCAGCGCAGACAGAAGGAATGCAGCAGTGGTTAAAATAACTCCATCAGATCCAGCAGAGGTGATTAGGGATCGCTGTGTCCCCCCTGCCTCCTGTCACTCCTTCAGCACTTGAAAAAAACTCGATAACGTCAAGTTGCGACGTAGAGGTGCGCATAGAGCCAAACAAGCACCACCAGCCACAGCCACACCCACAGGCCCTCCCCTTTCCCCTGGACCCCTCCTCCCGGGCTCCTTTGCGCGGATGTGGAAGAGAAGTTTCCCGGAGGCGCGTCCAGTCTCCACTTCACATTTATACAGTATTTCCAACGGAGCAGCAACAAGCGCCTGAACCGGGGAATACGCGCGGACATCTGACGGCATTTTTACGCACGAATTTCTTTCCTCTGAACCACAGCCAGAGCCAGTCCTGTGTCGCTTCTTGATGCTGTTGAAGAAGTGAGTGGAAAGAGCCCGGTGAAGGACAGTGGAGAGGTTTGGATCAGACGCAGAGGGGCGCGTATTGGAGAAGAGAGAGAGACAGAAAGAAAGAAAGCCTGTGAAATATTATTAATTGACATAACGCGAGAAAAGAGAAGAGAAGACGCCCCGGTCAGCTGTGGAAGTGGTCAAGTCAAGACAAGAGTCGCCATGAATAACAACAAAATTGAGAAGGAGAACGAGCAGACGGAGTTCAGTAACCACGAAGAAGAGGTATGTCCAAAGCGCGCACGCACCTGGCGTTACTGACCAGAGACGTAACTTTATTTAGGCAAGGCAAGTTTATATGTAAAGCACTATTTCATACACAAGGGAACTCAAAGTGCTCAACAAAATAAGATAGCATTAAAATCACAAATAATCACAGAAAATTCAGATATAAAATCCCTCAGTTGTAGCACAGCTAAACAGAACTGTCTTTAACCTGGTTTTAAACATTGTCAGAGAGGAGGCCTGTCTCACATCTTCAGGAAGATTGTTCCAGATTTTAGCAGCATGAATCTGAAAAGCAGCCTCCCCATGTTTAGTCCTGACTCTGGGCACTAACAGGAGTCCAGTCCCTGTGCTCCTCAGAGTCTCAGCAGGAGTCCAGTCCCTGTGCTCCTCAGAGTCTCAGCAGGAGTCCAGTCCCTGTGCTCCTCAGACTCCCAGCAGGAGGCCAGTCCCTGTGCTCCTCAGAGTCCCAGCAGGAGTCCAGTCCCTGTGCTCCTCAGAGTCCCAGCAGGAGTCCAGTCCCTGTGCTCCTCAGAGTCCCAGCAGGAGTCCAGTCCCTGTGCTCCTCAGAGTCCCAGCAGGAGTCCAGTCCCTGTGCTCCTCAGAGTCCCAGCAGGAGTCCAGTCCCTGTGCTCCTCAGAGTCCCAGCAGGAGGCCAGTCCCTGTGCTCCTCAGAGTCCCAGCAGGAGTCCAGTCCCTGTGCTCCTCAGAGTCCCAGCAGGAGTCCAGTCCCTGTGCTCCTCAGAGTCCCAGCAGGAGTCCAGTCCCTGTGCTCCTCAGAGTCCCAGCAGGAGGCCAGTCCCTGTGCTCCTCAGAGTCCCAGCAGGAGTCCAGTCCCTGTGCTCCTCAGAGCTGTTTTAAAGTCTATTCTCTGAGCCACAGGAAGCCAGTGCAGAGACCTGAGGACTGGACTAATGTGGTCGTTTACCCAGCGTATACAGTCCTCCATGTGCATACTGTATGCCTGCTTTTGCTCAAGCTATAATAAGTAAAGTAACATTATTTTATCCCTACATTTATAGCATGATCAAAAAATACTTGTGTTATAAATATTGTGCGTATGGATCTGTCTGTACGCTTGGATTGTCATGCCATTGCTGCCCTACTTTTGTTGAATATTTTACTACCCTATTCATTTTTTAAAGTAGAAGAGTAAACGTCTTCTTAATACAGGCCAGTAAAACATGAATCAAGCTTGTTGCATGGATGACAATTAACTCATTATAGAAATCTGGCGTTTTGTCTTGGAGGACAAAATTGTCTCATGAATTTTCTATGAATTCAAGAGGACTTAGCCTGCCGCTTCTTGCCTGTTACTGTACCAGAAAGCAAGTCTTCTCACATCACTGGGAAAGCTGTAGTAAAGGGAATATCTTAGCCAGCATGAATTAGCTTTCACTGAAGCTAAGGGAGCAATTGAAGTTCAAACAACTGCTGCTGCAACACACTGGCAATATCCCTTTGTATAAAAGACCTACTGCAATGGAGCCAATGGAGCACTTCTTACACTATTTAATTACATATTAACTCTGAAGAATGTTTGCCTTGGTTTCTGGTGAAGTTTATTTACTCTCTTGACAAGGGGCGGACAATAGCCAAGTTTCTTCCCCAGTACAAACATTGGGATAATTGCACAATAGAGTTTCGGCTTTCTCGATAAATACATGTGTAGTTCTTTGCATGGGGCGGTTGGCTTTGGCCCGGAAGAAGGTTATCTGCACTCCACCACCACTGATTTGTTTTTGTAGAGAGCCCTCCGTGTGTCCGCTGCCAAGTGATGTAAGAAAGGAAAGGTATATCAGATGGTATCAGATAGTCCTCATGCAGCGATTAAATTAGGCCGAGTGAGGCGTAAGAGGTTTCTATGGATGCTCAGGAGCTGCGTGCAGAGAAGGCAATGGACAAAACCCAAACTCATCCCGACTTTAAAGCCAATATATATGATTATGGATCAGCAAGCACTCAACCCAACTCCATATATATCTTATCTTATCTTTAACCAGGAAAGGCCCAACCTCTTTGTCAAGGGAGTCCTGGACAAAAGTTAGAATCACACACAATCACAGATTTTATGAAATTTGTGATGTAATGAAGGAATGAAGCAGAGTTTGCGAATCAGAGATAAGATATTCATTGTTCTTTTCCCCTGCGTCACTGAGCTTGATTGCGAGTTTTTTGTGTGTTTTTAACAGTCTATTGAGAGAACCAGCCCATTATAACAGTCTCATAATACTCACATAATAAACTCTCCATAATAATAAATACTATAATATGTATTGATTGATTGATAGTTTGATTTGAGCTTGTCAAATATATTAAACATAGCTGCAAAAGTGTCCATAGCTGTTCATTAAAGCTGGGGTACGTAACTTTTTATATCCCCCTAAACATTACGTGTTGTTTGCCCAGTATAGACCACCTCCAGATGTTTTTATATGTCATTTATATCACAACATGCGCTCTTCAGGCTTGTGAAAAAGATAGAGCGAGAATCTGTTTAGAACCGGCTGGATGCATGGATTACGCAGTTAATGGTGTTGTGGTTGTGTCAGAAACCGCATTCTTCGATAAGAGAAACATAAACATAGACATTTGTGGTGTTTCTGAACTAAAACTTGGGCAGAACATTTGCACGTGCGAGGGCGCTCTTCATAAACGCCAAATCAATGCGCTCCAAAGAAAGTGAAGCGTCGCAATTGCTGGAATTTTAATCAATCTGAGAGCCAAGTTTTTCATACGGTCACGAATAAGAAGGAGGTTTTTTTAATCGGTTACAGTTTAATCACTGTCGGTAAAAGTACAGTTTGGTGTAAAGTTATGTACAATTATTCATTTAAAATAGTTCGAAAATGTGTTAAAATGAACGTGTTACTATCCCTGCACATTCTTAATATTACAGACAACTTGGGCAGAACAGGGCCTGGAGTTTGCATGTTCTCTCTGTGTCTGCGTAGGTTTCCTCTGGGTGCTCCGGTTTCCCCTACCACTAAAAACATGCACAATAGGTCTGAATGTAAATGAGAGAGTGAATGGATGGTGTTGGGTCAGAGGCTTTGATGGTCCAGTGTGTTCTGGACTCGCTTCTGTCATCACCGTGTGTGGAAGGATTGGAACAATATCTGACTCTGAACATTGGAAAGTGCTTTGGGTCTGTACCTTGGTCTGTAAAATGAGCTATATAAATAAACATTACTTACTTACCAACTTTATATTTTTTACCTTTAACATGTTTGCACACTTGTGTCTTTTGCACATTCTGAGTTTATCTTATCTTATTTATTATATGGTTCTTTGAGAGGGACAGAACAAAAAGCATTGCTACAAATAACCAATGCCATGTTATAGGCCGTATCGCTAACTTACTAATTCTCAGCCCTGGTCCCTAAGACACACAAATACATCACATTTGCAGATTATTTTAAAAACGCAGATGACACAGTACACAATATTTACAATAGAATATTCAACGTAGGTTCCTTTTGAGCCTAATCAATGACGACCAAAATCTCTGTATATTTTTCCGACCTCAGACAAACCTGCAATACTTTTCTCAGCTCTTTCTTGCTCCGATGATATTGGAAAGGACAATTATAGATCATAGTTGTGTCTTACAATGTCTAGACAGGCGGGTAATGGCCAGAGAAATTGTAAATGCCTGTGAGTATGTTTGGAGGCCGTCCAGTCTGGCACCAGCAAGAATTCGCTTGAGTGGATTAAGGTAGCTAAGGTTAAACATCCATGGTTTTATGAAACAGTGTGTTTTGTATGCAGCGGAGGAACTTTGTGCCTCTGACTGGAGAAAAGCAGGTGTTTAAATTCACAAAGACACCGCACGGAAGATTAATGACTAATTTCCAAATACGCCGGGATGACTTGCACTTTCTCCAAGAACGTTCAAGTTCATCCTGCGTGACTGTCCTGATTTAATTTTATGTTCCCGTCTCTCTCTCGCTCTTGGATTCAAACATACGCCATGTTCCCCCCATCGCTGGATCGGCTCCCCGCCGTAAAACGGACCGCTGCTTTGTTCTTAAGTAACTATAAAGTAAACTAGGAGAGGCAGAGTTTAACGGGCTTGTTGGCATGACGATCACGTGCTCATCCACAGCAGGATGCTCCCCACGCTTCACCTGGGCCCAACCGCTCTGTATGGTTGGGCCGAATATAGCTCTAAATCACAACATTAGTTATCTCAGAGGACTTGGATTTCACCGACACAGATCAGAGAATCAAACACAAGAAATGCAATGATATAAAAATAACCCCACATTGGTCCATAAGTGGCAGATGAGCAATGTCCACTAATGTTTATGGAACTATCACATTCCAAAACAACTGATCAGACCCATTTTATTGTACGTTTAACTTTGAATTTAACTCTAATCTCTTCACTGTCATTAGTTATCCACAAGTCGAGAAGCCCAAAGCATTAAGATCGGTCGCGGACAGTAAAAAAACAAAACAAAATGTATTCAGTAACGCAGAAGCATGAGTTCAAAATCTCATCTAGACATTTCTCCGGAATCCCCCTCGCTCTTGAAACCACCCCCCTCCCCCGCTCTTACCCCCTCCTAACCCTCACCCCCCCCCCCCCCCCCTCTGTAGTGCACTGACTCGCACCAGTTCAGCTCAACCTTGTTCCTCCTCAGAGCCGCTCGACTGGCCAAACTCACATGCCATTTCCAAATCCCCGTGACGTTCGCTGTTTATCAATCGTGCTCCGGCGCTCTTCCCCAAACAAGGCCCTGCTGCAGATGGAGCTATGCAGGACGTAGCTCCTTATCTGCGTCTGCTTTGATAACGCTTCTCTATCAGGTGTTCTGGAGGCTTTCACGAAGCTCGCCACTCACTGGTCACCGACGCAGCCAAGGCGACGGGGCCAGTTTAACATGTCAAAGATATGAGCGGTTTCCACACCATATATGGGCGTGCAGAAGTTTGGTTTGTCCCGATGTACACACAGTCCCACATACTTGTTTTATGAGCCATTATACTAAAAA